CAGGAGCTTCCCCGTGTCGTGGGGAGGCAGTGCCAGCCTGGTCCGGGAGGGACCCCGCGCGGGGCGAGGCTGAGCCCGTCCGAGCTGGTGGTGGCATCTCTGGGATAACGGATGTGAGAAGGAAACAGCGTTACTGTGCAGAAGAGAGGGGTGAGAACATGTGAGAGAAGCGACCGTGCTGACACTCGGGTCAGTGAAGAAGGGGCAAGAGATGCCCCAGGCACCAGAGCTGAGCCTCCCCTGCCTGCCCCGTGGGGTCCAGGGGGAGCAGAGACACACCTGGAGGGCCCCAGGCTGGAGGATGCTCCTGAGGGAGCCTGTGACCCTCTGGGAAGTCTGTGCTGGAGCAGCTCCTGGCAGGACCTGTGAATTCATGGAAAGAGGAGCCCAAACTGGAGCAGGTTTGCTGTCAGAACTGTCCCCAGTTCCCACAGGGGACCCACACTGGAGCATCCTGTTCCTGAAGGACAGACCCCGTGGAAGGGACCTGCACTGGAGCATCCTGTTCCTGCAGAACAGACCCCGTGAAAAGGACCCACACTGGAGCATTCTGTTCCTGAAGGACTGATCCTGTGGAAGGGACCCATGCTGGAGCAGTTCATGAAGAACTGCATCCCGTGGGAAGGACTCACATTGGAGAAGTTCATGGAGGACTGTCTCGCATGGGGGTGACCCCACACTGGAGCAGGGGAAGTGTGTGAGGAGTCCTCTCGTTGAGGAGGAAGGAGCAGCAGAGACAACATGTGATGAACTGACCACAACCCCCATTCCCCATCTCCATGCACCACTGGAGGGGAGAAGGTAGAGAACTGGAAGTAAAGTTAAGGAGAGAGGGGTGGAGGAAAGGTGTTTTTAAGATCTGTTTTATTTACTCCTCTGATTTAATTGGTAATAAATTCAACTAGTTTCCCCAAGTGGAGTCTATTTAGCCTGTGACAGCAACTGCTGAGTGATCTCCTGATCATCTCGACCCATAAGCTTTTCATTCTATCTTCTCTCCCCTATCCAGTTGAGGAGGGGAGTGACAGAGCAGCTTTGGTAGGTACTTGGCCTCCACTCAGGGTCAAACCACCAAAGTATTTCTCAATGCTTCTATGTTTAGGTAATTTAGGATTTCATTTGTGTCTTTTCCCCCCAGAAAATCGTGAGGATATGCTGAATTCAAAAAGCAACAGACTGACAGAAGCTTTGGAAGAAGCCAGTAAACTGTTCAATGGAGGTGAAACAAATTCTTTGGTCTTTATTAGAGGGGTTTGCTTGACAGTTGGCCAAGTGTGAGGTGATGATGCTTTATAAACAAAAGAGGGCAAGAGAGTGAAGTTGAGGTCCAGGTACTTAATCAGAATTATATAACTTAAAACATATATGTTTAGTTGAAGATTGTTTGAATAAGTTGATATGAGAAACTAAATCTCATTACTGTTTGTTTGCTCTTAGAAATACTCCTTGCTTTACCTGGCTCAGCAGAACGATGCATACAAGTAGTGCACATAAAAGAGATCAGAGTAGAGGGGTTCATTCCACTCAGAGAGGTAGAAAACATCAATAAAACATTTATTCCTTAAGATCATGTGTTATTTTCCATGTTCTGTCAGTGTCAGTCTCTCTTTTTTTTTCAATGCAAATATTATTGTAAGGATTATGTGTTTTAGAGTTGTTATAATAAAAGCCTTACAAAGCTCTAAGCCAGGATAGTCTCTATGCTCAGCTTTGTTACTGTATTTTTGAGGATCTCGTGTTGTTAACATAAAATTTTCTCTGTGGCAGTTTCCCGTGCACGAGAGGCTGCGCTGGATGCCCAGTTTCTTGTCTTGGCATCCAGCCTGGGCAAGGAGAAGGCCAATGAGTTGCACTCTGAGATGACAGCATTCGATTCAGTAGCATTTGCAGAGGACTTGGTAAGTTCCAGACTCAGGTTTGCCCTGTGTGTTACAGAACTGTGAAACAAAAGCCTCAGATTGTCAGGCAGTGCGTGGCAGTTCTGATGGGATTTAATGCTCTTCCTGTGAATTTCTTGGATTAACTTTCTGGTTAGTGTTGTTATTTGTTCTAAACGACAGATTAAGTATTTCTGATAGGGTAAAACCTAACCAGAAGTGCAGACACATCCCCACATTGTTGCACTGCTGCTCCTTTATCACAGTTCAGTCAGTTCATGCTCTTCAGGTCCTCTGCACTTTTCTTCTAGTCACTCTTTAGTAGTTTCCCAGTAGCTCAGTAGTTTCTTTATCCTGTCCATTGCTTCATATGTGTTTGGATAGAGCTCAAGGTCCCATGTCACTGACATTAAATGGGACTTCGGATTGCTTGAAGCCTTGTGCTTGTCTCTGCACGGACTGGGTGGAAGAGTCAGTTCAGAATAACTTTGAAAGAAGCTGTTGGGTTTTTGTCCTCCTTGAAAATTTTCCCTTATGTCACAGCAGATCAATAAGGAATCTGAGTCTCTGGTCAAGTCTAGAGCTCTACAACATAAAAACCCCTCAAGTTCAATTGTTCTATTGGAGTTTTTCCTGGGGGAGTCTGGGCTGGTGGATGCAGGGATAGGCCAGGTAAGTTGTTCTGTGGTGTTTGAGGGGCTAAGGCTTCCTGGGATTGTGTGGTGTTCAGAATCTGCAAGACATCTGAGCTTTATAGTGCCACTGAAGTAATGTTCTGCTACTTCATACATCATTGAAATTCTGTTGGAATCAAAGCAGATTTATTTACCTATAGCTCTTCATTGCTTGCTGAATGAAGTATGTGAGTGTTAACTGTTTTCACAGTATCTTCAGGAAAGTCCAAGTTCTTAGGCAGTGGTGCTAAACATTAATCTGCCAGGCAAACACCATAATACAGTGTTTCACCAGTAATGTGTAAATCTCCTGGTTTACCTCTAAGGGAATTTTCATTGCCTTTTTTTTTTCTTTTGTAGCTAACCTTCATGGGTATAAATCGCTTAGAAGTAGAAGAAAATGACAGTGACTCTGAGGGTGCTCCAGGTGGGTTTTTACCTAGTGATGCTTGGAAGAAACTAGGAGAAGAAGCACAGAAGTACTTCAGAAGAGCACCTACTTTTCACTATATGTAAGTTTATTTAAGGGAATAGTTTGCAATTTTGAGAAAGTTGCTGAATATAATAGTTTGATCATACAATATCTGATAGCTAATTGAGATATTTCAGACTTAGGTTTGCACTATCAAAGCTCTAAATGATTAGTATATTTTCCAGTCATTTCTGTGATCTGAAGACAAAACTGACTGCAAGAAGGACTTGTTTTCTCATTAGTTGCATTTTGACATCTTCAGGAATGATAAGCTGCTTTTGATGGAGGATGTGAGAATATTTGCAAAGTGTTAATTTCAATTTAGGAGAAGAACTTGCACTTTCTGACTGCATCTGTTCCTATCTGAGTAATTTTTATTGTTCATGGTCAGTTTCTGATTTCTGAAATTGAGCAGTTGCAACTCACCCAAGCTAGGGAAAAATATCTGCTACAGAATTTTGGGTACTTGCTGAACTAAGTGGAATTGGGTCTCAATTCACATTTGCTCCTTTAGGCATCTAACTTGGTGGGGATTTAAGGCAGCCCAGGTTAGGAGCCAGACTTCCTCACATAGTCAATGGAGAGAACAAAGTGCCCAAATCTGGCACGTGTGTTACACTCATTGTTTGATGAGAAACACTGAGTCTTTTCTTAGTGTGCTGAATGTTCTATTGATTGATTATATTAGTGACAAACCTGAACTTACAGAAACTAAACAATAGATGGAAGAGAGATAAGTCCTGTGTGGAAAGAGTTTTCAGACAGGAAAGTTGATGACAAGTTCAAATGGAGACATTGGAGGATATGAACCTTATACTGTGTTTCATTTCTTTAAGAAAAGTAGGTTTGAAGTCTTCAGACTAGGAGGAAAGTTCGAATAATTGCATCAAATTTTATGTATCTGTTGATAATCCTGGTAAGAGTCTGCCAGTACATAAGGAGCAGCTTTTGGAGATAGTTGTTTACAGAAGTCTCTAAAGGTGATGAAGATTTTTCTTTTAGGTATCAGTCATTACTTTGCACTTCTATCAGGACATCCACTGCTCAGCAAATAGATTTCTTAGCATACAGTGTCAAACATAGTTCCATATATATGTTCTTTCTCTTTTGATTAGGTTGGGATCTTTCAAGTCTGAACCTCCTGTACCAAGGCAACGGATTGAGAGGCAGAAAAGGGCTACAGGAGGAGAAGCAAAACGGGCAATGCCTGCTCAGGTTTGTACAGTGTTACCTTTAGCTACCATTTGTTATGGCACAGTCATTGCTGGTGACTTCTAAATCTTTCTGTTCATGTTGGTTTGGGTTTTGTACTTAGGACCTGTGAGGTACTTGTGCCTTCCACCCTTAAGGGGAAGATGCCTGTGCTGTACTGTGTTATGCTTATCTCCAAGAGCCAGACAAGGACATTTGTCCCAGAAAAGTGCTGTCCTGCCTCCCTGTGGCCCTTTCTCCAGCCACATCCTGTTCTTCTTACAGTGTGTTGTTACCAACAATCCTTGGTTGGCTCTGCAGCCATCCAGCTATTGGTGTTTGAGACATACACATTAGCCCCTTATCTTCTGGACTTCTACAGCCCTAAAGGATCCAGGCTTCATTATTAGGCATCTTGATTTGTTTTGTCTGCACTGCAGTATTTCACTGAGTGGAAGGAAATAGGATTTACAGACTGATTTTTCAATTCCAAATTAGGTTACTTGCTCTGATGCCTGTTGCTTTGAGAGGAAACCAAACCAGAAACTTCTTTCCATGAGCTTGGTTTCCATTTTTATTTAAGAGGTGTCTTAAGAGGGTGTGGCATTTGCACTGAAATGTGGTTAACAGCAGCAAACTAATCAACTCACTTAACCACTTTTTCCTGCTGTCTGCCATTCTTTCTGTCACACACTGTCAGAAAGGGAAGAGCCCGAGAATACTTACACAGAGGCTCATATATGAAACTTTAAAAACATAAACCATGTTATAGGGAAGCTCAGGCTGTGATAATGCCTTTACAGAGAGGCAAAATGTTGAGTGTCTTTTTAAATACAGCCTACCTAATAATGATCCAAACAGTGATAGAAATGATTCTGATAGTCTGTACTGGGAAGAAGAGGAGCTGAAGAGTTTGAGAGTTGCTTATAAATGATCTTCAGTAAACTCACAGACTACAAACCACTATGTAACCCAATTCCACACAGCTATTAAAAATTAAGTGTAGGCCTGTAAATGGGCTCAAAACATACAAGCTGTGGCCTTTCAGTTTGATATTGTAAGATGGGAATGAAATCCTAAAGCTCTTTGGAAGCTGGAGAAAAGTGTCTGTAATGGTACATGTAGGGAGAAAAGTTTATCTTTTCTGTTATGTGGTCATAAAAGGCCTTTTTCACAGCCCCATAATACAACAGTGGTTACTGAAGGTGAATCTGTGTTTGGTTTTTTCCCAGTTACAAAAAATGGAGGAGTCTCATCAGGAAGCTACAGAAAAAGAAGTAGAGAGGATCTTGGGAATATTGCAAACTTATTTTAAAAATGATCGTAAGTATCGTGAAATTAAAGCATTACAGAATCACAGACTCTTCAGAGATGGAAGGGACCCACAAGGATTATTGAGTCCAGCTCGTTGACTGGAGGAAATGAATACTCACTGTCTTCTACAGTTAGCAGTGATTAAACTACACAGACAAAATTAGGTGAAGTTTGCAAGTAGAAACCTTTCTGTCAAAGCACATATACTGACTGTATTTTTTTGTGAACACTAATCAGTTGCAAAGGCAATTTAAATCCTCTCCCCCTGATCAGATGATTTTTTAGAAGCAATCAGATAGTCACTGTGTATGGATATGTCTGGAAAGATGGAAGAAAATTATACTCTCTGGAAAATGTGTTTCTTTCTCCAGGCAGCTGGGAATTCAACATTGTAACTCAGTTGACCAACATTCAGTTAGCTTTTAAAAGGAGTTCTGGCTCTCCTAAGTTGGTGTTTACACATATTAGCTCTGTGTACAGCACCTGTTTCTTTGTTTGTTGGTCCTTAACAAACCCATTTTTGCTTCTCCAGCCAATACACCCATTTCCTTCTTTGACCTTGTGATTGACCCAAACTCTTTCGCACGCACTGTGGAAAACATCTTTCATGTGTCCTTCATTATAAGGGTAAGGCATGACATCTTCTTGAAAGCTGATTTTAGATACTGGAATTATCTAGAAATACTGATTTCTTGTTATGGCTTCAATACTGACAAATTAGGATTTAAATATTAGGAATCCTAATTTAAACAGTCTATGATATTGTGGTAGTTGAATAAAAAAACCCAGAGTTGACAGTATTTTTTTATTAGATTTTCCTGCAATTTCCCAACAAAACAACAGTGAAACTTTTGCTGTCAATATGCTGTTCAAAAAGGTTTCAGGCTCACATTTTAGCTTACAGAAGAGCAGTCAGAGAGCACAGAAGAGTTACTGAGGTAGTAGACAATTATGCCAATGCAGTGATTGATGTGCCTTTTGAATCTGTAGATTTGCTCTTCAAGCTATAATTAGTTTGTCTAATAAATATGATTAATTTTAGAAAAGGGAAAAACTGATAGAGACATTTTGACTAAATTCAGGTTTATGTTGAGTTGTGATTATGAAGGGTTAGCTCAAATATATTAGTGAATAATATTGATTGTTAATAAAGTTTTTATAATCCAACAGTTACTGTTCTACACCAGCTGCATTCTTTATGAATAAATGCCATATTTAAATAGTTTTTCTTGTTTGGTTTGCCAGTTAAGATTCTTTATCGATATATGTACCTGATTATGATTCTATAATAAGTGAAAATCTGATACCTCAGTGCATTATTCAAACTGGTAAGCTCCAACTTCTGAAACTTTAAATCCACTGTCTTTTAGGATGGGCTCGCAAGGATAGAGCTGGATGAGGACAAATTGGCAGTAATAGGTAAAATCTAGCTTTAAAAGACTATAATTGGGGGTTTTTACAGCATTAAAAAGTAGTTAGGTATGTGTTTAGCTGAGGCTGTGCAGCAAATGTAACTGAAGGGATGAAGAGATTTATGAGGAGCTGTAGGGATTGAGTCTTTTCACATATCAATATATGGAAAAAGACCATTATGCTGATTTATACAAATTGATTCTGTTAACAGAAATCAAAGATTATTATCCTTCCCTTTAAATTATTTTTCTGCTAACAAATACATGAACATTGTTTTGCTTTGCTGAAAAAAGGTGTTTCTGTGTGCAAGAGCTCTCTAAGTTGGGAAGTGCCATGTCACATATGAGGTCTTTGGCCTTCATTCCCACAGGATGCCACTGGGGTTAAGATTTTTGGGGGATTTCATAAGAAACTGAACACTTAGGTCCTTCGGGGACTGTGAGAAATGACAGTTCCTACATTTTTAGTAGGTGAAACTAAAGGAATTTGTTAAAGTATTGGTAGAGATTAACTGGGTGGAGCATGTGTGATTGATTGGATTGTTGTGGAGCTGTTGTGTCCCTGGAGGAGACTAACTTCACAAGTGTGAAGACTGAAAATAGTGTGTTTTGAGCAGAGCCTTCACAGCGGGACAGCAGAGGGGAGGAAGACGTGGCAGCTGCCGCACGGAACCAGGCTGTGCTGTCCCTGAGCTACCAGGAATGGCAGGTACACAGACAGCACTGCATTCTTGGCATCATTTCTCTCCTTCTCCAATGTGGGAACTCACCCAAGAGCTGTGCTGTTCCCTACTCTGATGAGGAGAGGTGTTTCTGTGTATATTATCACTGAATTTAACCTTGTGGATGCCAGGACAGTCATAGATCTAATAAGGCTTTGAACTGCGAGAAAAGTGGAACTTGGGATAGCAATTCTGTCTTTGGTGTCTGAAACCTGCTCAGTTTAAGTGCTTTGAAGCTGTGCCCTGACCTGCTTTAATATTTTACACAAGTCTGCATAACTGTGGAGTGTGTTTCTTCCCTTACACATGACACTTCAGAAAGGGAAGTTCTCCATACAATTTCTTCACTGCTGTTTGTAATGAATCTTCAACCAAAAGTAGTTTTGAGCACTTAGAGCTCTTCTTTGTACTTCAGAGTGTGCAGGGGAAACTTGGTACTTTGAATAGTGCTTTAGTGTGAGAAACCTTATTATTTATTTGGGGGTAACTGCAGTTAAATGGAAACAGTTCTGCTGTTGTGATTTACATTCTGCTGTTGTCTCTAACCAGGAGATCGTCGAAAGCTTTGAGATAACAGAGCCCATGATCAGCCCTCCCCCTCAGACTGCTGAAGAGGAAATGGAGATAGCATAATTCTTCAAGTAAGTTCTTCTAATAAACCAGACTTAAAGAAGGATCCAGTGCATGAGTGCTGGGTGCACGTGGAAGAACTGCAGGGAAAACACCTGTGGCCTCGAAATGTGGGAGAACTGTGAGCAGGATCAGTGTGTAATAATGTCTGGAGCATTGCTGAGTTCTTGCTACATGAAACAAAAAGTAATCGGGTCTTCTATGCAGTAATTAACTGGGAAAACAACCCTTTATTTTTACATTTGGTGGTCAGTTAAGTGATATACCTGAGTTAATTTTTGAAACTTTATACTCAGAATGCAAAGCTCTGAGGAATCATAGCTTAGGTTTTGTGGTGTTTTTAACCTACTGATTGCTAATAGAGTACTGTGAAGGAAGACTTGGAGGGAACAAGGCTGTCTTCCCTTCCTGCTTCCCTAAAATTCTTTCAGTGATAGGATTGAATTCTTTTACATTCACAGTCCTTTGGTAAGTTCCAAACCTTAATGCATATTGTCTCACTATCTTATCTCTGTTTTTTTTTCTTCTTTCCTCTTAGGTGCCTTAAAGAAAATGCTTTCAAATGTTTCCTTCAAAAATTGTTTTATATGTATATGTTGTAAAATTAAACTTATTCTTCTGGGAACTGCTCAGCACTTCATATCAGCTGGTTTGTTTGTAATCATGGAATGGTTTGGGTGGGAAGAGAGCTTAGAGACCATTTAGTTCTAATTCCTGCCCTGGACAGGGACACTTTCCACCAGCCCAGGTTGCTCCAAGCCCCATCCAACCTGGAACACTTCAGGGATGGAGCAGCTTTTCTGGGCAGCCCCAGGTAAAGTTTAGACTTGTCACAGGGTTATTACTATGAACTTTCTATTTACTACTTTACATATAACATTCATTGGCACCTCCAAGCTTTCATAAAAGGAAACACTATCTCCCTTCTTTCATCCAATCCTTGTTTCTCCCCAGCAGCCTCAGCCAGTGGAATTTACATGGTTAACCATCTCTGCTGGAGTAAACTTGTTATCCACACGGTTTTGGTGCTGCAGCAGAAATCGATACTGCTCTGTTGTTCTTACTGCTGCAGTCTGAGTTGGGGAAATTTGGTTTCAATTACACCAAACAATTACTCTTTCCAAAGCCTTCCCCTTTTAGCCACCTGTGTTTGGTTTGGTAACTTAGGCAGGCCACGATGTTGTTTTATTAAGGATTTATAAAGTTTAGCTGTTTCTTAAAAATGTGCTGTGGAGGAGAATGATCTCCGTGGTGTTCAGGCGTGGATTTTTTTGTCCTTTCACCCCTGATGCGGCAGCCTAGGGAGGGAGTCTGCACACAGCGATCTGTGCCAGCTCAGCCACTAGTCCGTGTTCCTGGTCGGGCCCCGACGGTGCGTGGCAACAAGGCTGAGGCTCTGAGCCGCGGGGGAGGCTCGGCCCGGGCGGGGCCGC